AATAGAAAAATGATGCATGTCCATTTGCTAGTTATTATTTTAAAGAAAAAAAAAGTGCTGGATGATGTCAACTTTTACTTAACATCATCAATCCTAAATGTTTTAAGCAAGTGAAGATACCTGGAGATACTCCTTGGCAATACTTGTGAATGATAAGATCTTCTTTCCTTAACAGTTCTTAAGAAAATCAAGAAGGCAAAACTCAATAGGCAAAAGGGAATCCTCTTTAGTAACTCCATGGCTCAAATCTGTAGGCCTTTGAAGCAGAATATGAGGAGTTTGGCCAAGTTTTGTTCAGTTGCAGAAAGTCCTGAAAGGACTTTAGGGAGAATATTGACAAGCCAACTCTGGAAACAGAGTTAGGACTCACCTGGGAGGAAATGATGTTGGCACCAGGATGCCCATTAAGGCGGTTGTAATAGATGAGCGTAATTCCAGGTCTCAGTCTGACTAAAAGGATGTAATGGAAGGAAAAGGCATGTCGTAAAGGAAAAAGGATCAAGAAACGGTTTGACAGACATTAAAATAACAAGGACAAACCAAATCTTTATTGTAAGACTTCTTGAGAATGTTTTACTTACCTTGAGGAGAAAATTAGACATGGGAATAACTCCTAGAGGGATGACAGATGCCTCGATTTTCATCATGTTTAAGTTGATGAGCTAACCAGTTTGAAATGTCATGTAAATTGAAAATGACATAAAATTTAACAAAAGGATTAGCACATTACTTATGTAACAAACTGAATTATGACACAGAAAAAAACCAATATGGCTTAGTTTTGTGATACGTACATAGAAAATCATTATCTATTTGCATTTTTGATTCAGTAAAAATATGCATTTTAAGATAATTTAGTGATCTGATGATTACAATGACAGGTGGCTTTAAATCAGGAGCTTATAATATATTTTTCAACCCCAAAGGTATCTGATAGTACTGTCAAGGGAATGTGTGTTTGTTGCTAATCCAGTGCTGTCTGGTGTCTTGTGTGTTATTCAGTTTTATAAGTTCAAGACGTCATACTATATAGCTTTTTAAAAATAAGCCTGTAGGGAAGACTTCAAGTTCCTTTCATTTTCAACAGTACCTTGTTTTCTTGCTTCTCATTTCCCTAGGAGAGTGACAATATTGGAGGACCCTGAACAGAACATTCACCTAAAAAACCTGTCTCTTCATCAGGCAACCACGGAGGAAGAAGCTCTAAATTTGCTATTTTTAGGAGACACCAACAGAATGATTGCAGAGGTAATAATCTTTTCTCTGCAAGCTGATATTCCAATATTATAAGACATAATAGAATTTTAGGGGCAACAATGGCCATAAACACAATCTTTTCCAAATCTCATGTTGTAGATAAGGAACCCTAGATCTAGAGAAGTGAGAATACTTTCCCAAGGTCACCCAGCTATTAATAGTTACTGAGCAGGGACTGAAATCTAGACCTCCAGATTCTCAACCCATTGTTTTTTCTACTTTACTATATCATCTACTTTCAGTTTTTATTTTTATATTTTTCAATTTTATACAAATTGATTTGTAGCTAGTCAATGACAACTCATTAAGTGTCTTAATTACAGGAAGTTTTGCATAATTCTTGAAATTTAAAAATAACACAGTTCAATCTTCCTAACCTCAAATAATCCATATATTGGCATATATCTGCATGCCCATATATTTTTATTTGGTTAGTGACTTAATATTTATAAAGCATTTGGAGCAATGCATCGAACACAGAAAGTACTCTATGCATTTGCAGCTATTATTGGCAGATCTGGGAACACCACCATAGTGTGTAGCATAAGTATGTCTCAGTGCCATATATGAGACAAACTTATACTTAAAATTAGTCATTGTTAATCTAACATTCCAATTTAACTGAGTTCCTATATTTCATCTGGGAACCTTATGTAGGAGCCAGGATTGACCCAGTTTGGTCAGGGGTCCAAACCTTAACTGGTTTCTGATTGGAGATGAGGGGTCATGAAGTTCTCATCCAGTGACATTGGGGTGAAGGGAATGGGGGTGGTAGTGTTGATGGTGGTGGTTGTAGTGTGGGAACAGTTAGTTCCCCAAATGAACAGCTTACTGTTATTACTGGCACTTTCTTTTCCAAATCACATTTCTAGAGTTCTGTGTTTTACCCTGTCTCCGATAACAAGTAGTAGGTGTGGGCAGTAAGCTGAGAAAAATCTCCATCAAGTGACATTTTCTCAGCCTCATGTCTGCCCTTTAGAATGTACTGCCTTAGATGTAATGAAAACCAAATTCAGAGAGTGAAAGCACACTGTTGACATCTGCTGTTGTTTAGAGGCCTTCATTTTTGTTTTTATTATTGCTTATCAGTTCTGTATCAATACTGTTCAGTAGACTAACATGTAGATTGAGTTTATGTGCCATATATATGGATTTATGGTTATTTTGAAGAAAGTTTACATAGTTTCGAATTTTAGAATATCTTGTTTTGCTTTACAATATTTTGTATTTGTGCTCAATGCTTCAATATTTTGCCCACGGGATCATCTGTGATGCTCTTTTTTATGTAATAATTGAAGATTAAGGAATAAAGGCCAATTAAGAATTAGGACATGTAATAACAAAAGACTTAGTATACTCCACTGAATCCTGTTCCTCTATACACAGTTTAATAAACAGAAAACTAAGAGATACAGAATATAGATGGGTCCTGCCCACCAACAGATACAAAAAAGAGAAAAGATAGATTCATAAATGCTGTTGGAAAACAACGGGAGGAACCTGTCCCCACCTCAATGCTAACAAACCTTCCATCGGAGGTGACTCATCCCTAGAGAAGCACAGGCCTCATCCTCGCCGACTACTTTCCCTCATCCCGAATGGGTTATGGAAAGCTCCTGATCTGTTTCACCATGACCTCCAGTAGCTTAAAAGCTTGGCCATTGACGTTTCAGAGTTATACATTAACTTTAGCTGACTGCATAGTTTCAGTCTGTTGTTTCGTAAAGTTTTGAGAAACTTCTTTTGTGAAGTTTTCCTGTTATGTTTTACCACCTTACAAAATTCCAACTGTCTTTTCCTATTACTTACTGATGAGGGTTTAGTAATAGTATTATAAATAACTGAAACCTGAAGAAGTCCAATCCTAATAATTCTAGTTGTGCATTTTTGTTTAATTTAGTATATTTTCTTGTGCAAAGCCTATTTTTTTAAAACCAAATCTAATGTGTTTGGGATGTCTCTGTGCTTGCTTTTATATTTTCTTTAGTATAATAGTTACTATGTTATATCGAGAGCCTGCTTAATAGATTCTCATTGCTGTAGACAAGTTATACGTATTATTTTTGATTCTTATTTTATAGGTAGAAACTGAAGCTCAAAGAGTTAGGCTCCCTGCCCAAGTTCCCACAACCAGTGAGTGGTAGAGCTAGAACTCAGCTCCATGTCTTACTGATTTGGAAGTTTGTGTTCTTTCCTTATGCCATGTTCCATGAGCACAATAATCAGATTGACATCTGTCAAATCTTTCAAGTGGGGATGTATTTCTGAATTATTTTAGAAATATATCAAGTATTTAGCCCCTTAGTTTATCTTTTGAATTCAATGAAAACAAATACATAAAAATATGAATGAAGAGTAACTGTCAAGCCCTCGAAATTCTTTATTTTTCAGTCTCTAAAAAAGCATGTTTTGGATTACAACCCAGCTGTCAGAATGTAATTTGTCAGCACAGAACGAGCTTACCAGGATAAAAGAATAAACGAATCATTTCTTTTTAAAAACTGAAGTTCCCAACTTCCCATTTACACAGAGAAACCCAGGAGTTGCCATGGTAACCAGAAAACATTTGCAAAACAAAGTCCGAATATGTGGGACACAAAGTGGAGTGCTCTCTTGTTTCATGTTCTTTACCCATAGCCGGCATTTTAAGGAGAAGTTAAGAGTAGCCTCCTCCTCGTCTTATTTATTTAGAACTCCTAAATAATTTCTACAATCTTAACAATGTTTTGAATAAAACCTGATTATGCCCCTAGGGTAAATTACTTTTTAAGTTTTATTTCTGGGCCAAAGAGAATAAATACTATGAAAGCTGAACTGTGTGTTATCCAGTATCAAAGTCTACCAGTAGTGAGTATGACTTGATACTTTATTGCCTTATAGTTGAAATATTTCTATCAATTAGTCAAATCTAATTGAACAAAACATTCTGCATTTGATTGTCAGCCTATGCACAGTCCCATTGATAGGACCATTGCCTCCTATCTTCATGGCATGATCCCACCCATGGCCTAGGCCGCTGGGGCACTCTGTGCCCAGGAATGGTCCTAGGTCCCAGGATAATATGCATTAGATTACCCTATGGTAGTTAATAGATGCAGTTTCTTGGATCCCATTTCTGGTTGACAGATTCAGAATCTCTGTATTAGAGCTCAGGAATGTGCATTTCAGCATTATAAATGTGTTCAGGCTAAAGTCAGGAGCAGTTTGGGCTTCATCATCAAGAAGGCTGGTTGAAACCCACTCCCAGGGAAGCACATGAGCAGGTCCATATTCTGTACCCTTGTCAACACCATAGAATTTGAAAGTTCTGCCAATCTGGTACACACAAAAAAATCTTATTTTAATTTGCACTTTTGATTACCAATTTTTTTATGTCTTTATTGACGATTTGCATTTCTGCTCTTATTTATGTCTTCTATTTGTTTTTCTCTTGAATTATTAAGATAGGTCTGATTGATTTGGTGATTGAGGGTTGAATTGAGGGTTTGTCTTGTTCACCCAATATCCATGTGCCTAGAAACAGAGCCTGATATTTAATAGGTTCTCAGTAAATAATTATTGAATGAACACTAAAGATAATAACTTTTTGTTCTTGTTGTATATTTAGCAAATATTTTCCCATTTTATTAATTTTTTTTTTAGTTTTCATTTCTTTTGGTTTTTTTAATATAGTCAAATCA